CATTCCTATTGTCCCAGATCTGGTCCAACTCAAACAAATCGCTGATCTCATACGCCGACATTTCACAGGAGAAAGGGGTTTGGTAGAGTGAGGGCTAAATGTGTTGAAGGCCTCACTCGCATCGCATCGCCTCGCTCGAGTCGAGTCGAGTATGTAACGCGATAAGATCGTCTCACATCAATCCACAGGGCAATGCTATCCCTAAGAATGTTAATCAATTAATTACATGCTGCGTATGCGCCAGAGGGAGGGAGGGATAGCGGAAATAAAGGATAGAAGATGAAGCATAAAGGATTCGCCACCGCCCAGGGGTTACCCCTTTCTCCTTTTCCCTTTTTTTTCTCTTGATTAATTTCAAACATTTCCCAAGGCTATCTATAAATTGGCATGGGACCAGCGGCCGTGTGCGGGCCAGAAAATTAGCTTGACCATCGGTCAGCGGTACGTGGGTCAGTCGCGTGTCTGATATTAATATACAAATAAATATTGACCATCAGTCAAAAGGGTTGAGACTGATAGCCAAAAGGGGTTTGTTGATTTGCAAGAAACATTTCTTTAAATCCCAATGGCAAATCAGTTATTTATTGGATAACAATTATAAGCGAGGATTATACAGGATGATCTTTCTTTAGTGACCTTTTTTAAAGGATTCAACTCTAAATAAGTTTTAATTTAGTACGATTCGAGCGCTTATTTCTTATCTCTACACTTTATTGAGCCCCTATACCGCTGTCACCATCAACGATTTGCGCGCCAAAAAGTCAAGGCACTTGAGAAGTCATCCAGGGCTCATAAAAAACCGAAAAATGGGAAAGAATTTCAGCAGCCTGCTGTGTGGGAACCACTGACGGAGTCGAGTCGAGTCGAGTCCCGTGTTGCAGCATGTGACAAGAACAACAACATTTTGGCACTGTCCGACAAGACGACATACCGGCAGACAGACAGACAGACAGAAAGAAGATCAAAAACTGTTGCATTCATTGTGTTTGTGTGGCACTTGTTTTAGTTTCGAGCACACACATTGTGACCCAAATTGCTTTTTGGCGAAAACAAAACAGTGCAGAGATCCCGAACAAAGCCGGTTATGGGAAAGGGAAATGGAAATGGATTTGGATTTGGCAATGTGCCGAGCACAAGGCGAGCTCATGTCCTGATAAATGGCCAACCACTTGACCAGGACAATGGTTCGGTAGAGCTGCTACTATTCAAATTATATAGAAAATTGCCAGTAAAACACAAACTAATTGTATTTTGGTCCATACAATGCGACCGAACGGGCCAAACCCGGGAGGGGGTGCCATGGGAAAAACCTTCAGTTTTGTTCCTCAATTTCGCAAAAGATCACATTGGCGTGTTGGAGTCTGGCCGCCCGGGCATGGGAAACTCAAGTGGCACCCAGCGGGTATCGATTGTGTGGCATGGATGCAATGTGGCAGGCAGATGATCAGCCTGGCCTTATAATCTAATCTTTATTTTTGCCATGGGTCCATGGGGTCTCTGCATGAGTATGGATGGCCTGAAAACCCCAATATGTGCGACAGGCATATCAAAATCGAATTGAAATGCGAACAAGTCATAAAATTGTATGCTATAAACATGAAGAAAATTCTGACTAACGAATCTGAAGCGTAGATACCCTTGGATATTTATAATCCATATATCTTATTTTTCTTAAACAACAAAATTTTTACAATTTCCTTGTTGAAAAAAAAACTTATGCGTGGTTACCAAAATTGTATTTAAATTGTAGATCATTTAATTAAAACAAGAACTTTTAAGTAAAATTTTTAAATAATGAGTTTAGCCAAGAAATACTCTACAACTACTAAATGCTAAGATGATTCAAATAGCTTTGGAAATATGTGAAAACTCAAGGGACAAAATTATGTATTACACCCTCTGTTCCTGCTAGAGTATGCAAATAAAAATAAAATTCATATCTAAGCGTGTCAAGAACATTGTTCGCTCATTAGACGACGGAACAGCGACGACATCGCCATCCACATACACAGTCCCCTCCTATTTCCACGCAATTTTTGTTGTTTCTGTTTCTCTTTCTCCCATACAATACCAACTTTTGTTATACAGCTCCAGCCGTTATAAATATGTGGGGAGAGAGAGAGGGGGGGGGGGGTAGAGCAGGAAGGCGAGCAAGAGCGGGCGGGGCGACTGGGAGACTGCACTGAAAACTGAAAGCATCGTTGATTAGTACTTCCTGAGGCTGTTTTTCTGTATTATAGTCGAGATATTCCATATCACGCAGTGGCTAGATAGAGAGAGAGAGAGAGGGCGAGGTTTGCCAACAAACAAACAAACAACTGCAGCATTTGGAGGCAGAGGGAGAGAGCTTGAGTCCAGCTTATCAGCAGCACCAGCATAAGAGGGTTCATGGGGGTTCCAATGCAAGCTGAATGAAGGAATGTAGGAACGGTAGAACATACAAAAGCTGATAGAAAGAAATTAAATCCCAGGTGTTGCTCTTCCGGCTCTGCTTCTACCAAAGAGTATGGCAAATATCTAAATAAATCTGTAATTGCAATCATCATTTCATTTTACTTCCCTCTTGATGCCAGATAACCTTCTTCTCGTTGTAAAATGACACAACACACCCACCCAAGAAGCCCCCATCACAGAACAATTCCAGCATTTAATGGACAATTATTGATTTCCTCTTTGAGCTTTCTTCGGCTCCGGCTCGAAGCGCATTTAAACTCTGATCCCAGCAATTGATTGCCGGCGAGAAAGCTTCATTTGGCGGTCACTGTCCGTCCGTCCCATGGTCTGTTGGTGTGCGTGTGAATGAATGCGTTCTCTAACATCGAAATGAATTGCTTATTTTGACATTTATTAAAGCTTTAAATAAAATTTATGCAGAGAATCAATTAGTGGAGGAAGAGCATAAAAGCGGGACAGTGGACCAGCAGTTATGGGAGGGGTACTGTGAGGGGCACCAGGGACCTACGCACGCAGCCGAAAGTCAAGTAACGCGAAAAGTATCTCGAGAATATTTCTCACAATCGGTTTGTAGACACGACGAAGAAGGAAAAGACAAAAACAGACAGAACGCGACTTAAACGGGGAGAAAGGGTAAACTTGTTGATACCCTTCTGATGCCATTGACATTAGCTAAATAATTGGATACCTTTTAGATATGAATTTTTTTCTTTGATTCTATGGCAACTATCAGATATACATACATAGTAATTCGTTCTTGAAGGTTTCAAGGTTTCCGTCTCTGCATTTCCCACATGTGAGCAAGAACGATCATACCCTCGGCAAGGGTATAAAAAGTAGCGGCAACAACAACAAATGCGGCCGCAGCCAAAGAGAAGGCAAAAAGACAACCGGACAGCAGCAGAAAGAACAACAACGACAAAGACTGCAAGAAATCACAAGAGCACGCTGGGAGCAAGAGGAGACGAAGGCGAAGGCGAAGAACTGAAAGATAAACAGAATCGCAGACAGAGACACCAATACATATTGAACGCCAAACTCCTCAAAACGAGTCCTGCATACATGTACAATATTTTGGCGCAAAAACCTCCTTCCCCTACTCCTATTCCTCCTTGCACACTCATTCTGTGGTCTGCTCTTCACCTACTTCTCTGCTGCGCTGCGCCGCGCTGCCGCTCTCTGCTGCACTTTGTCGACTGCAAGAAATCTCAGCGCCGCGTCTGATGCGGCTGTGGCTTCCCTTCCCCCACTCTTCTGCAACAATTCTCACTCATTCTCACACATATACTAACCCACACACGCGCAGCAGAGCTCGTGTTAAGGAATTTGCGCGCGCACGTTGTTGTCCACGTCCTCGTACCCTCTACTCCTGTTCACCTTCTCCTGCTCCTGGCTCCTGCCTCCTGCTCGTGACACACACACACACGAGCCGTTCTCAGCAGGACTAATTCCTTTTTTCTTTGCTGCTCATATCCTTCGGTTCCTTGGGCCCTCGATCAGCTGATTGAACACATGTATTGAGGCAGGAGCACACGGTGGGAAGGGCAAGGAAAGTAAGAGACGGGTCATTCCCCGCCGCTATCCTTGTCTAACTGTTTCTCATGCGATCCTTTTTTGCTCCGTCTGCCTATGAATGTATTTTCATCGGTTTCTTTCTGATTAGTTTTTTTCTATTTCTCCTATTTCTTATATACTGTGATTTCCCCTTCTTTTTTTTTGTGTACGACCTGAAGAGAAGAGAATTTATAGATCAGTGGCAAGGGCTGGAGAAGGGGAAGACGCAATTCTTCGATGACAGACTGTCGACACCTTCGACAAAAATTTGTAATGCAAATTGTTGGGGGAGTCCGCGTCATGCGCGATATGTAAATAACTGACTATGTACAGTGGAGTCAGCCTTGGGTGGAAGAGGGTAACTATGGTAAACGTACATTCATACTTTTAGAGCTATTAGCTTCCAGCAAACTTTCACTGTAGTCATGTATACATTTGGAAAAGTGTGTGTGTGGGGAATAACTCACCTAGACATCAAATTGCTGGTTCTCCGCTTTGTACCTTCCTTCTAATTGCATTGCGCGCCTTCTTTAGCTTCCTTTGCCCCTTTGCCGGCCGGCCAGGAACATACACGTACACTGGGACCGCCCGGCCAGCCCCTCCGCCCAGATTTCAGCATTTGCGCGCGCGCTCGAATGTATCTCAAACGCTTGTTATACACTTATGGGCTTTTATGTGTTTGCAGACACACACGTACTCATACACATACACGACCGTGTGTCGCCCCACGTCAGGCGCTTAAAAAAAAAACGAATCTCAAAGCTCACTTCTTGGAATTTCGATTTACAATTTAGTTCTTCACTTTTTTCCGCTTTTTTTCTGCTGCTGCTGCTCCCGCTGCTATTGTTGTGCGGCTCCATTCACATTGTTGCTGCAATTTTTGCTTGCTTTGTGTGTATGTGTGTGCAGCCTATTCTCATTCTTGTTCTTTGCCCGCAATCAAATTCTCCAGCAGCATACATATGGATGTGTATAAGAGTGTCCTTTTTTTTTTCCATATGTACATATGCCCTTTTTCTGCTCTTCTGCTTCTTCTTCCGGAGGCTGTCGCACTGTGTCACTGAACTATTTGAGCTATGGCCAAAGCTAATCGGTAGAGTCACAGAGAGAGTGTCTGTTTCTGTGAATTCATTGAAAGCAATTTCATTTGCTCTTCAGCAAGTACCGCGATCTATTCTGAGACTACAATAATGTGTTTCAGCCCACTGTCCCGCACTATGAATGAGTTTCGAGCTTTTTCGCTGCACGGCTGCCTGTTTTGATGCCCTCCCCTCTCTCACACTAACACAGTCTTTCACTCATACAACAAATGCGCTTTTTTAACTTGTTCAAAACCACTTTATGATTTCTGCGTCCTTTTTTTTCTCTTCTCGGTTGTTTTCCATAAAGATGATCCTCTTCTCTTCCTGCAGCAGCACAGCAACAAAAGCTCGCTTGAGAAGAGGAATTCAGAAGAATGAAACCGTAGCTCATTTGGTGGGCTTTGGCTGACGAATCGAGCGGAAATCATTCACGCGAGCATGTGTTGGCAATAACTGTGAATGATATCATATGTTGGTGTGACCCGGTCTTTGCTGTCTTTTGTTTCTGCATTCATATTTGCCTGCCATATGTACGGCCAAGAGGGGGACCTTACAGCTGGAGGGGATTCACAAGCACACTTGCACTGGAGTATCCATGGGTGTCCCACTGTCCACTCCCCATCCCCACCATACCCCTTTCCAAACAATCTGTGAGAGATGACTCCCGCAGGGCCCTGAGCGCATATGTAACTCGATTTTTGCTTTAACTTTGCCGCAACCACACACACACAAAACACATGGTCACTCCACCACAAAAGGATGGGAGCGAGCGCTTTGCTGCTCATTTAACGACGACATTGGCGTCTACGTCTGCAAAAACACAAAAGAGACACGCCTCCCCACCGCCCCACTGCGACGGCCAGGGCATGGGGATGATCATATGATCCCACTACCTACTGATGGCTTTCTGGAGCCACCAAGAGGCGTGCAGAGGGGGGAAGGAATGCGTGGATCTCACATTATTACCTGCAAACGACACAATCGATGCCGACGCCGCCCCTGTTGCCTCCGCCAGCCGATGCCTTGAATTCTGCTTAAAGATTTACTCAATTCTTTTGCTCTGCCTCCTTCGTTTGCTCTCTGCTGCCGCAGCAGCCTCCTCTCCCACTTCTCCCTCTCACAGTTCCACTAAATCCATGTGTTTTTACTGGTTCCCTCGCATTCGGCTCCACTCGGGCCCCACTCGATCCCCATTCGGGTTGGCTGCCGATGGGGCCTGGGCTTCGCGTCTGGTATAAAAGCTAGCGCGCCAAAATCAGTGCCCTCCATAGTGCACGCCGTCGACTTTGGCGCCTTCGTTCTTCTCCTTCTTGCTTCTTGCTGGTTGCTCCGTTTCGTTTCGTCGTGTTCTCGTGAAGAATGTAGGGGAAAGGAATTTGAGTGCAAGCTACCTGTTGCACTGGAACCGCTCCAACTGCACAGATTTTCCAATATTTACACTCTTCGGTTGGGAAACGGAAAATTGTCCACTCAATATCCAAGTACATAATATGCACATAGCTCCCGATCCTGCTCTGGCCACCGCACCATATAGTCGACACCGCTTACTCCCTCTCCGAGAGCTGGAAGAGAGGCAGCAAGAAAAGAGAAGAGTATGTACTCCGTCTCCTTCTCCCCGACACATTTGCTAAGATGGCAAAAGACTCAAAAATTCTGCTGCAACAACAAAATACTAACTAATATAGTTGGATAGTTCCCTCTCACTCACACTCACACCAGCTCACCGCTCAGCTGTGCATTCTCGTTCGCTCATTCTACCCTGTTTCTCGATCGAGAGCGGGGGTAAAAACCAGCTGCGCCACACATTTTTCTCTCCAGAGAGCATATTTCCCTGACTCAGGAGAGTATTTCCCTGTCCGTTCAGGCACTGGAGAGTATTTCCCTGAGAATATCCTGACAAATTGCACATTCACAATGGGTAAAAATGTCCCATTCACAATGAAGACCTTTTTATTGTTATTTATATCATCATTCCTCCATTCCACCTTTCGCCGTCTATAAAAACCAGATGCGCCCCGAGAATCCCATACATTTTTCCTCTCATCCGCCGTCGTGAACACATCTATTGTTGCTCCTCTCTCCGTGCGGTAGTGTCGCCTGTGTGGAGTAACTATTGGATAAACATTAACACACACACCACACACACACACCAACAAATGAAAAACATGCTGAAACGGACACATTAAACAATCCTAAAAATAAAAGTATTAATAAAATGCAATATTAGTTATAACTTACCACCACTAAAGGACTACAAAGTGCAAAAACCGAAAACAGTAGAACTAACTGTAAATGAAGAGTGAAAAGTGATCCATCGAAAGAAAATTGTGTTTTAGCAATTTTTCGAAGATAAAAAGAGATCCTCTCAAAGGGAATCAATAATCAATTTGGAAATCCAACAAAATAACAACAACAAAATGCTCTGGGAAACGATTGTGGAAGAAAGCAGCAGCAACAACTGCAGCCTCAACAACATGGATTGCAATATCAGGTAATTATCCAAATATCCAGCCCAGGAATAGCAAGCCAAAACCAAACCAACTTTGATCGGAATTGAAAGTGAAAATTCAAGAATAGCGAGAAGAAAAGGATAGCAAATCGGCACTAAAATGCAAGTTTAATAACAGCAAAAAACAAAAAAAAGTGTGATAGAATAAACGGTGTAAAAAGACAAAGTCGACTGCGGCGCCACTGCGCGCGCTGCCTCTTTACAGTTGAACAAAAGTAAGAGTTTTATTGCTCCTCTGCTGTCTGCTTCTTATTTTTTGCACGCTCCACACACAGCGTTTACTTTTATTTCGACTCAGCTGTGCTGTTGTTGTTCTTCTTGATTTTATTGTTGCTTATTTTCATTCATTAAACCGGCTTCCGCGAGGCTCCAAAAGCGGAAGAAAAGCAACACCAACAACAAGGTAGTCGTCGTCAGTCCGTCACTTTTTTTTGTGTTGTTGCGGTTCTTTGTGCAGTTTTTTTGAATTCCCCCGCTTTGCGTGACCCAAAGTCAGGGGCACGAGCATAGGAAAGGGGGGGCCAACAATTGCAGTGAAAACGAAAAGAACTCGGGCAGAACGGTAAACGTGCACATGTGTGTGTGCGTGTTTGCGTGCCAAAGAAAAAGAAGAAGAAACACAGTAAAAGAAGGGAAGAAGCAAAAACAGTGCGACTAAATTTCTAATTCCGAATTCCAATTTACGAGAGTGTGATCGGCAGGGGAATAGCAACCCCGCTAGCGTTTTTGTTGTGTTTACAACACTGCTACCACCACGATCACCGCCGCCGCCCGACTGCGCTCCCCCTGCTTGTATTTTTAGCTGCAGCGCCGTCTGGGTTTAATGACCCGCTTCAGAATTTAGGGAAGAAACAGAGACCCCTCAAACACTCTCTCTCTCTCTCTCACAATGCAGCTGACTAATCCTCGTTCTCTTTCTTGCGCTCTCTTTATAGCAATTCGAGCAGCAAAAACAACAGCAGTCGCGCCCGCCGCTCACTGGCCTGCAGCGAAATGATCGCCATGGAGGAGCTGTCCTTCTACGACGATGATGTCCTGCCCGAACAGCGCGTGCCAAGTCCCGAGCTGATAGGCCTGCTCTCGCCGGAGGGATCGCCCCAGCACTTCCAGATTGTGCGCCAGCAGAAAGCGCTGCCGGCGACAGCGGGAGAGGGCAGCTCAGCCGAGACGCAAGCTCGCGGCTTCCGCGTCTTCAACAGCCTCTCGTCCACCTGCTCAATGGAGTCCAATATGGATGATGAGTACATGGAGCTGTTCGAGATGGAGTCGATGGCGGGACAGCAGCCCAACTCCCTGGGATTCCCCAGCGGCCTCAATTCGCTGATCAGCGGCCAGATCAAGGTGGCCTCGCCAGCCCGTCCCATCAGATCGCCCGCCCTGACCATGCGCCGTCCCTCGGTCCGACGCTGCCTCAGCATGACGGAGACGAATAGCAATCAGCTGCAGCAGCTCCAAACCCAACCAAAGACGCCCGAAATTCTGAAAGAGACTGCCCGGGACTGCTTCAAGCGTCCCGAACCCCCTGCATCGGCCAGCTGCTCGCCCATTCAGAGCAAGCGCCACCGCTGCGCCGAGAAGGAGAACTGCCCCACACCCACCGCCACCGCACCACACAGCCACAGTGGCACCACCACGCAAGTGAACTCCCATCCCCCACCGCTGCGCAAGTGCATGTCGCTGAATGACGCCGAGATAATGTCTGCAATGGCCCGTTCTGAGAACCACAACGAGCCGGAGCTGATCGGTGACTTCAGCAAGACGTACGCCCTGCCACTGATGGAGGGACGCCACCGCGATCTCAAGTCCATATCCAGCAGCACGGTGGCCCGCCTGCTGCGCGGTGAGTTTGACGGGGATGTGGCCAGCTACCGCATCATCGACTGCCGTTACCCGTACGAGTTCGAGGGCGGCCACATTGCGGGGGCCAAGAACCTGTACACAACCGAGCAGATTCTTGAGGAGTTCCTTTCTGTCGCACAGACTGAGCTGCAACAGCAGCAGGCGGCCGAAGCCGGCCCCAAGCGCCACATCATCATCTTCCACTGCGAGTTCTCCTCGGAGCGTGGCCCCAAGATGTCGCGCTTCCTACGCAATCTCGATCGGGAGCGCAACACCAACGCCTACCCATCCCTCCACTATCCCGAGATCTACTTGCTGCACAACGGCTACAAGGAGTTCTTCGAGACGCACATTGAGCACTGCGAGCCGCACACCTACCGCCCCATGCTGGACCCTGCCTACAACGAGGCGTACCGTCACTTCAGGGCCAAGTCAAAGTCCTGGAACGGCGATGGCCTCGGCGGTGCCACTGGGCGTCTCAAGAAGTCCCGCTCCCGTCTTATGCTGTAAGGGAGTGGGCAGCAGTATGGCTTTGAGTCGTTATCAATTTGGGTGTTATCTGGGTATTGTATATAATAGTAGAGATGGTCGCTCATCTGGGGGATATTTATTTCACACGCAGCATTTTAAGTTGATTTTTGTTGATTTTCATTTGTTAATCTATGGCTTAAGTTTAACCACCGCCCACTCTGTCACACACACACACACACACACGCAAAAACACACAACTTTCGATGTCACCCTTCATTTTTATTTAGTTGTCTATTGTTTTTTATGAATTCGGCTTTAGTTCAATTATTTGTAGACCTTTAGTTCAAATTTTAACGTAAAGAGCGGAGAAAACAAGCAAACGCCCAAGAAGCAAAAGCAAAAGCTCAAACGAACAAACAAACAAAAAATGTGCATTATAAGCTAACGAAAAGACGAAAAGCGAGAAACTGTCATGTCATTTAAATTTAAGAGGCCGAAACAGAATTTTATACATTGTAGATGTCCTCACCCTCACACCCCACCAACCCGCCCCATCAGACTCCTTCATCAAGTTTTAGATGATAAGCAGTAAGAAATGGCTACAAACACACACACACATACGTTCATCAATCCATGTTTAAATGTTTAAGTATGATTATATAAGAGTTAAAGTTGCAAACTTTGACTAGGTACAATTTACGCTTATTATTTGTTTAATTTTAAATATACCTTAATACTTAATACAAGAAAAACGAAAACTGAACCGAAAATTATACCACTGGCATTATATTTGTATTTTTCTG